CGGCATGAATTGTAGCGGTTCCACGTCCTTTCTCTCGCTCACGCGCATTTGAACTTTGAGGTCGCGCTACGAAGTCTGATCCATCTGATCGCTCTGTCCACATATTTTGCACCTTTTTTCCCCCCTTATTTGTTATATTAATTAATAATTAATAGGTTACATGGTAAATCTATTTTTTAAAATTCTAAACTTATTTTTAATACAATATTTTATTTTAATATTTTAAAATCATATACTCCCTCCGTTCAAAAATATAAAATATTTTTTAAAAAATTAAATGTCAAAAAATATAAGATATTTTTAGTCTTTTGAGATGTCATAGTTGTTTTTTTTTTCCAAAAATGCTTCTATTGATAATGAATTTATATTTATTATAAAGTATTTAATAGGAATAAATATGAAAAGATAGAGTTAGTTTGAAAATAGGTAACTACTTTATTGTAAGGTGAGATTTAGTTAAAAATATTTTACATTTTTAAACGGAGGGAGTATATAATATTACCATTACTATTAATAAATGTTAATTTTAACAATTAGTTGATAATTTTTTGGTTATTTTTTGTAATTTTTTAAATTTGTTTTTATGATTTTCTGGTCAAGTAATAATTTAAGTTAATGATTATTAATGATAGGGGCAATGTTGTACCGTTTTGAAATATTGAAGGGAAACATTTCAAAAAAATATATTCAGGGATCTTAATCTATAGTTTGAAGACAAATTTACCATTTAACTCTTCATTAATTTGGATATAATTAAATCAAATAATTACATACTATATATATAGTATATGACATTCTGTTGTTTTTAATGTTTTAATAAGCTACTTGATTGTCCCTCCAAGGACATCAGCTAAAATTAGAACTACATAAAGATTAGCATGACAAGCACTGCTTTGATAAATGTGGTATCAATTGTTATTAATTAATTCAGATTTAGATTCAAATACTATGAATCCCGTGTCTTTATTTAAAAAGATAAAGAAATCAATATTGCTAAATAATAATGGTCAGAAAAAAACAATGTACATTGGTGAAAGAAGATAAGGTTTTCCTCTCCATCATTTCAACTTCATGTCCATCACAGAAAATCAAAGAAAAAACAAGAAGAAAAAGTAAATGCAAGAAAAAAAAAGGCTATAATAAATTGATAATAACTAAAGTTTTGGTGCCTTAATTTCTACCATCATATCAAGCACGAGATTTCAAAGGTTGACCCTCAAGTCTTTGGCGAGTTCGGTTTCGGTGCTCTTGCTGAGCATTGTGGTGCTCATTATAAAAAAGAACATGAATCATTTAAATTTTAATCTGGATGATTCATATTTTTTTAATTTTAATTTTAATTTTATAAAAATAAAATTAATAATTTTTTGATAAATATATTCATCATCAATTTAAATAGTACTAATTGAATTTGAGACTTTAAGTGATTCAATTTAATATTATAATTTTTATAAACTGATTATCTAGATGTACTCTGGATAAGATAGATTTAATATTAAATTTTTTAATAAGTTTTTATTTTAATAAATATAAAATAAAAATAAAAACTTTAAATGTAGGCCTTGCAGATAAAAATTTAATATTAAATTTGGACTGTTTAAAGTACATCCAAATAGTTAATTTATGAAAATTATAACATTAAATTGAATCATTCAAATTTAATCAGTATTATCCAAATTGATGATGTATATATCCAAACTGATAATAAATACATTTATCAAAAAAATTTATAAATTTTATTTTTATAAAATTAAAATTAAAAAAATTTAAACCATTCAGATTAAAATTTAAATGGCTTAGATCTTTTTTTATGATGAGCACCGCTTGCTGAGGACCGAAACCAGACTCGTCTTTGGCTAAATCGTCACTTTTGGCGAAATTAAACTGTGATTAACAAAGTTAGGCCTCAATTGTACGTACGCATTCGTAGCCTACTTTAGCAAGACTTATTCAACATATTCTCTTCACTTCATTTCATTCAACGCATCCTATTTTCTCTCCTTCTTCGCCCTCTCTCTCTCTCTCAAAGACTCTGTTGGAATTGGAAGAATCAAAAGAGACTGTTCCATCTTCTCATGGACGCCGAAACTTCACCGTAAGTGCTACTCTTCTCACTCAATAACCAGGAAATTTCCAGCAACGAATCAGCCAAATCTAATTTAATTTAATTTTAATCTTCTCTCTCCTAGATTTGAGGCGAGCGAGATGCTTGCGACGTTCCTGGCTTCGACGCCATTGATACCGGAATCATGGAGGTTGTGCAGCTCGGCCAACGCCACCGCGTCTGGAAGTTTTCTGACGGAGAAAATCGGCGACGTCGTCTACCTGGCCTTTTCCGGTATCCAAATGGCCGGCGGGTCGGGCCCGAGCTGGGGACAGTTGGTGCCCTTGGTTAGCGTCGGCGACGTGACTCTGTTTTCGTCGCATCCAAGCAAGGAAGGCGAGGACTCCGTCATGGTGCATGCCGGCATGCTCAATCTCTTCTGGTCAATTTTCAAGCCATTCCAAAATCAGGTGCGTATGGCTCTCCATCTTAATCTCAATCGAATCATTTCCTTGCATCACTGAATTAGTCCATCTCGTGATCTTGATTCATTTTACTAAATTTGCTTATCTCGCACAAACGCGGGCACAAGTTTGTTCTGATGCCATCGACATGCTCGATCATGTCTGTTTCCAGTAGGGCAATCATACTAAGAGAGAAGCTCCGTTCTATTAATATTCATCAATTACAGAATAACCGTAGCTAGCGTGGCGTACAATATAAACGCAATGATCAGAAAATATGAGAACATGAAAAAAATGTGAATAGAAAATAATACCAGTATATTTTCTTATAATAATAAATATTGTGTGTGTATATATGGGTTAATATGTAATTTAAAAAATTATAAGTTTAAAGGCGATTTAAACTCTAAATTTTTAAAAGATATATTTTAAATTTTAAACAATTAAATTTTGAAACAATTTTGCATTTATGTTTTTTTAAAATTGGGATCTAGTCTGTAATTTTTATTAAATTTCACTCTCCTTCTTCTTCACTTGGTTAAAATCACACATTAAGCTCCATTTTAATTAACATTTGTTTAAATTTAATGTTGGGGTGAAATTATTTCAATTTTAATTATTTAAAATTCAAAACATATATTTTAAAAGTTTAGGGTTTAAATCATTTCTAAACTTATAATTTAGGGTTCAAATTATATATTAATTCTATACATACATACATACATACATACATACATACATACATATATATATATTAATTTCAAAATAAATAAATCATTTTCTTCTAAAACAATAGGCTCGTTCAATACATAATTATAAGGTGCCAGAGCTTAGAGGCTAGTCATCCTGTCAGTATACCCACACGATACATGCAATTTACCAGATTAGTTTGGGGTTCATGCAATAAAGAAAAATTGAACCAAAATAAAATGATAAAAATCAAAATGAGGACCAAAGTTAAAGGATTAAGGAAGAATATGAAAAATAAAAAAATTTGTAACATTTTATTTTAGAAGTATATTCGAAATTCAAAGCAGCCAAATATATAGAAAATGGAAATCGTAAACAGGGACCAGATAATATTTGGGCAATTAATACGTGCATATGATATTGATTTAAGGATATATAAGACTTAAATCCTCTGAAATTGAGATTTATAAATTTCTCTAATTTTTTGGTTTTTTTTATTTTACTATTTTTATAAAACATAAAATCTTCTATCTTCCTAAAAAAATTCATGAAATTTATGAATTCTCAATTTTAGAGAATTAATTCTAAGATATATATATATATGTGTGTGTGTGTGTAATGTTTTTTTTTTTTTGGAACGAATGTTCGCCTAATATCAGTATTGCACCGTTGACCGTTGTCAACTCTAAACTCTGTTTTCTTCCCCCCCCCCTTTTTGTAACATGTTTTACTTTTTTCTTTATTAAAATAAATTTCGCTCTAGCTTTTGGGATGGGATTTATTTTTGTTGTTGCTCTTTACGGGTGACTTTTTGTGCTGTACATACTGGGAGTTTTTGGCAAAGTTACCCGGATGACTTTTTTTCAATTAAAATCCAAACCACCCTTAGTGGGGCATGGCTAATGGGCTGTTGCCTATTGCTGATTGCTACAGATGATAGAAGCATCCAAGAATGTGTCAACCAATAAGTTTAATAATAATAATAATAATAATAATCCAAAACACAAAGGCAAAGAAATGTTTAAAGCGCCATTTGCCCACTCACCCGCGTGGTGCCTTTCCCTTCCACACAAATTTCCTAGTATGTGCGTGTTTTGTGCGTTAGTGTCAGTGAAAGTGATATCGAGAACAAATGAAAGTCTGGAAGAAAAAAGATTATTCCAACATAAAAATAAAAAGAATCTTTGTCATGAAATGAAAGTCACTAACTGGTTACAGTACTCATCGTTTTATTCTTTCACATTAGAGTACATATGCATAATTGCATATGCATCTACATCCTTAGAAAATTGGTCGTTTGGTCAGATTCTTATAGAGAACTAGTTATGCAATCAAAATCACTTTACTGATTACTATAAATATTTTACTGATTCATGATATAAAGTGTAATGTAATATTATCTAATACTTTCCTATTTTTACACCTATAATTTTAAAGAGCGATTTCCTAAATTGTTTTGTAAAAAGTAATGGAGGTGTATTGGTGTCAACACTTATTTTGTCAATAAAGGTAAAAATGGAATAATGCATTATTTCTCTTTGATAAATTCAATACTGTAAAGTGTATGATGTGGCTGAAAATACTTTATACTTAGGATGGGAGGGACTGAAGGAGTATACTTTCCTAACCTGATTATGATTAAAACGGCAAAAAAATGAAAATATTTTAAACATGGAAGCTCTGCAACTCGGAATAGATAAACATATTTATACCCAGTCAGTATTACTTCAAACCTGTCGGTTTGTGCCATTTTTCAGACAAATTTGTGAAGACCAGAAGAACGACTTTGACTTGAGGTTGATATTCCAACCCAAAAGCTTCATTACATGCATGTTCATTTGAATTATAGCGGATGTGTTCTTGTTATCAAAGCTATAGAAAGCAAAGACGACTAGTTCTTGCCCAAAGCCACCACAACAACCTCATCTTTTTTTCTCAGGTCTCACATATGGACACAAGACTATTATCACTTTCACCCAAAAGCCACCAACCAAACCACCTTGATTAGTGCCACAGGCTTGCTACGTATATCACGAAAGTATCTTAGATTATTCCAATTAGAAGGAGCAAACTTCTACCTTATCGTCCGCTTTGCTTGCATCATCAAGGAGATAGTGCTGTAAATAATTAATAAAGGCAAGCATCTTTCCACCCACAAAAAAAAAAAAAAGAAAAAGAAAAAGAAAAGCAAGCACTAATTTTCAACTGTTCTTAGTCAATAAAATAGAAATTAAAGCATCCATAGTGCATCATCAAATTATTTCTATATTCCCTTTTTGTCGAAGGTCTGATCATTTCTCCTCTTATTTATTTAACTCCTATGTTTATATTTGGTGGAAACTTAAAGATTAGTCTATTGCCAATAATTTCTCTCTCAATGTTCATTTCTTTGAATATTAACTTCTCAATGAGCAATTTCTTATATCCTTATGTATTGTCCAAAAGGCCCATCAAATCCAAAACACATAGAAATAAATATTATTATAAATAATGGCAAGAAGTTATTAATATTAATATAAATTATAAAATCTATAAGGGACTATGGTGATTTGTAGGTGAAATCCAATTACCAAACAATAATGCCGTTTTTTTAGACGCAGCCATCACGTTAGAGTGATTGGACTTATCATGTCAAAGAAAGGGGCATTGACTTGTTTGTTCTGCTTTATAAATTCGTTGTTCAATGTTTCGGGGGCAAGTCTCAAATAATTGAGTAGTAAAAGAAGAGAAGAAAGCCGTGCCCCATTCGCCAATCTGAAGCTCACGAGGCCCTTAATTTCAGACACTTCATGATCGACTTTTCAAATTCAAAGTAGTCTTTGATTCAAAGCAAACAACTTGAATGAAAAGAAGAAAGAATGCCAAATACAAACCATGGTACAAACTTCTTTGCAAGGTCAACTCTGGGACTTAGATCTTTTAACCTCAAGACAATCGTATTGTAACTTATGAATTAAATTGTCAATTTTACTATTTTAAAAAGTTTAACTTGTGCGAACTGTTTCTAAATTTCTCTCTCTCTCTCTCTCTCTCTCTGTTTTTTTTTTTTTTTTTGGCTGTGTATTCACATTCCTGACTGCTGAAATCTTCCTTTACAGATGATGGCAATCATGGGGAATTCCGAAGCCAAGTCAATTATCATCACCGGTCACTCTCTTGGAGGAGCCATAGCCTCTCTTTGTACTATTTGGCTTTTGTCTTACCTCCAATCGATCTCCTCCTCCATGTCAGTCTTATGCATAACCTATGGCTCGCCATTACTGGGTAACGAGTCTTTTTCCAGAGCCATTCTCAAAGAAAGATGGGGTGGCAACTTCTGTCACGTGGTCTCAAAGCATGACATTATGCCTAGGCTGCTCTTTGCTCCTATAATCCTTCTCAACTCTCAGATATGTTCCCTGCTTCAGTTTTGGCAATTCTCCATGACTTACCCTGACCTGGGCAACTTTGGGGTTCAAATCTCTGACCAAGAAAAAGCTGATCTTCTCACCTTTGTAATGACTTACCTGAACAATGCAGCATCACAAGATGGAGAAGGGTCTCTGCCAGTCTTGTTTCACCCGTTTGGGAGCTACTTTTTTGTTTCTGATGAAGGAGCAGTGTGTGTGGATGGGACGGCCACAGTTATAAAGATGATGCATCTGATGTTGGGAACAAGTTCCCCAGCAGAATGTATCAAGGACCACTTGAAATATGGAGATTATGTAAACAAGCTCTCTCTGCAATCCTTGAACCACAAAAACTCCATGCAGGTGAACGTCCCAGACTCAAGCTATGAAGCAGGGCTGGAATTGGCCCTGCAATCCTCCGGAATTACAAGCCAGGTAAATACAGATTTGCATCTAAATTTTTTTCACCAATATCAGCTAAACATTCCTTATTCACGGTTTTTATTCGAACAAGGTGATTTTACTTACAGATTACTTTTCACGTAACCTGCAGGATCCGGCTGCTTTACCATTCAAGCAATGCCTAAGATCGGCCAGAAGAAAGGGTCTTACACCAACTCTGAATGCTGCTAACTTAGCAGTTAGGTTGTCCAAGTTTGTACCATACAGGGCTGAAATAGAGTGGTACAAAGCATGGTGTGATAAATCAGACGATGAACTGGGGTACTACGACTCCTTTAAACGAAGGGGCTCCACAACCACAAAAAGAGACATGAAAGTCAACATGAACCGTCACAAACTAGCCAGGTTCTGGAACAACGTAATTGAAATGTTGGAGAACAATGAACTACCTCGTGATTTTAACAAGCGATCAAAATGGGTCAATACTGCGCACTCCTATCAGCTCCTGGTCGAGCCACTTGATATTGCAGAGTATTACGGAAAAGAGATGCACAAAACAAAGGGACATTACCTAGAGCATGGCAGAGAGAGGAGATACAAGATTTTTGACAAGTGGTGGAGGGAAAAAGAGGCAACCATGGAAGAAACTAACGAAAGGAGCAAGTTTGCGAGTTTGACACAAGACTCGTGCTTTTGGGCAAAGGTTGAAGAAGCAAGGGACTGGTTGAGTAGAGTGAGAAGCGAACGAGACGTGAACAAACAGGTTCTGTTGTGGCAGAATATAGAGATGTTTGAGAAGTATGCAATTGAACTCATTGAAAGCAAGGCCGTGTCCGAGGACGTTCTGGCTAAGAACTCAAGTTACAGTTCATGGGTAGAGGAATTAAGAGAAGTGAGGGAGCTGAATTCAAAAAACCGGACATTTCCTAATCCCTTTACTCGTTTTCTAGACGGGGAAGTCGTTCCTTAGATTGCCCTGTGGGATGTCTACTAGTAGGTTGTAGCCTTATGGTTTTAATTTTTTTTTTTTAATGTACATTCGGTTTGTAGAACTGCTTGTTCTAACTTCTAATTCAAGGCTTTTTATTTCATGACTCATCTCTAACCTAGTTCCCTTTATTCTTTTTTTGTTTGTTATGAATATTTTCTAAAATTAAAATTTGTTAAGCAATAAATGATTCAGTCATATAATATCAACTTCAAAAAATTATTTTTAATAAAAAAATGATCCTGAATATTAATTTTTCACCTTAAAATTTCTCTTTCGATTATATATGATTTTTTTTAAAGTAGATTTGGTTTAACATCATAAATAAACCAACTTAATTATCGAAAAACATACAACTACGTAAGTACAATACATTAAACTGCATAGGCATGTTTGGCACTTTCATTAAAATTTACGGTTAACATGTTGCTATATTGTTTTTAGTTAATTTGATCTTCCTTTTTTTCTACTAAGCAATACTTACATTTCACCTAAAATTATTAGTTTTGCAAATGAGGATTGCGATATTGACCATACAAAATATAAGTCAGATGCAGAGAAGGGGGCAAGAAAGTAACAATGAGGAGCATATAATTGAAGTACATTGCATCACCTAACCTTGATAGACTTGTTCAGAAGAATTATTATACCTTACCATTCTGAACATCAATGTTCCTAACAGGTCCCTTGAACCATTTTCTTGCATCCAACAGCCACCAAAGCAATATCAGACCCAAACCCACCCCTAAAGCAACGGGTGCATAGTTGAAAGTTTCCCATGTAATAGGATACAGAGTAGGCAAAAGGAAAACAGAACAAGTGTAACATATCCACAGAAATGCTACAAAGCAGATTGGCCTTCTTGCTCTGCCTAAGTAAAAAGGCCCTGGCTTGAAGTTCTTCTCAGGCATAATCATTCTTGCAAGTATTGGAACTGCATACCCACCAACCCATCCCACAGTACATATTGAAGTTATAGCAGTGAACACTACATTCACTTTCAGAATAGGGATTCCCAGAAGAATACAGATTGCTGCACACAGCCACACAGCATTTGCTGGAACTTTGTTCTTTGGGTGTAGTTTCCTCCATAGATTGGAAAATGGAACCCCCTTGTCCCTTGACAGAGCATAAACCTGAAAGACAAAAGATGTAATGAGTGTGAAAACTGGATACCTCAATCCCATGAGCCTAAATTCAAACAAGAGCGGATAGGGCACATGGTTACATACCACTCTAGCTGCACTAGTGGTGATTGATAGCCCACCAAAGAAGAATGAGCCCCATATCACAAATAGTAAAATGATTGCTCCAGTGGAATTTCCATATCTTCCATGGAATGCATCATACAGTATTTGTGCTGGCACGAATTCTCCTGCTGTCTCATTGCTTGGATCATAAAGGTAACCAAAATCCTGAGGAATTTGATAACAACTAAGGTTACTATTTTGTATTTTCCCCTTAGATTGAAGCTAACCTTTGGTGGTATATTAAGGTTTATAAAATTGGAACAATAAAGGTTTTGGTTCATGGTGCATTGAAGTCGAAAACTGCCATCGAACTAATGATTTATTGATCTTTCAATAGAATCAAATGGTCCAATCTAGTTTTCATCATGGGACTATTATAATTATTAGATATTCTAAAGGTATTTAGTATACAGTTATCAAAACGTCAAAGATCACCCCTGATGTAATCTGGTGATAAATTTCAATATCTGTACCTGAATGCTGAATGTAAGAGCCAAAATGTAAGCCCATCCAAACACAGAAATGATCCCAATGCTGCCCAGAATTGCAATAGGTCCATTCTTATCAGCTCCTTTGGTTTCTTCAGTAAGATGTGCTGCAGCATCATATCCATATAGAGAATACTGGCTCACAAGGAATGACAGAATCACTGCATAAGGTTTGCTAGATACCCCTGTTGATTCTGATCCCATTTCAAAATTTGTGAACACATAAGAAGCAGATTTTGTAGTTAGTGCTACCAGTGGAAGCATTATGACTATCACAGTCCCACCAATCACCTGCCACAGAATAAATGCCTTGCTTAACCTACCTTCTTATCTAAGAAGTTGTATGACACATAAAAATAAGACTCAGGTTTGTGTCAGATCACTTATCAGGTACGACATAACTCTTTATACATATAGATACACGAAAGCTTAAAATTTGAGACTCAGATCTCTTCCTAAGAACATTAAGAGAGAGAAGAATATGAGTAGGTCCTAATTATCAGTATGGGCTCTACTCCTATCTCTTTCTTTCTTCTCAGTTCTTTCTGGTCAGTGAAAGAGATACACTTTACAAACTTGATTGTGAAAGACAAGTACCTGCCACCATATTGAAATCATGTCGATCAAGGCAATAACTTCTAATGCAAATGTGTTGAGAGCTGCCCATATAACAGTGAGGCCAATGTACATGCATAAGAAAAGCCATTTTGGAGTTAAGTATCCTCCACCTTTATATGTGCCTGTGCAAAGTAGGATTATACTCTGCAAAGTTTGTGATCCTGCAAATGCCTTTTCAATTATAAGTTAACAAAGTTAATGTATGGATATGAAGCAAGATTTAAGTCCAGAAATTTCACCAAGAGACTAAAAACTATAAGAGTACCTGAGTTCCTATCCCAGCAATAAGACCAATGGTTTCAAGCCAAGCACAGCACCATGAAGCAAATGGTCCCCATTTGGGTCCTGCCAAATGCGCGGCCCAGAAGTAGAGTGAACCAGTTGTCTATTGCATGGAATTGGAGGTAAAAGTTAGTTCTGTGAAGATGGACTTAAGCTATTCCATTTTATCAAAGATCAATATACAAATTCATCCATGAATAAACAGTGCGTATCAGATTGGGTTTCACATAGAGCGTGTCTGATAGAAATGTATGCATAGTGATGAACATGGAAAAAAGGGAAGAGAATTCAATTTGAATTTTTTTTTTTTCCTCCAAACATAGTTGGGTTTTCGAAAAACCTGAGTCTCGATTTAGCAATGAACAAGACATATTTTACTTGTTGAAATAATGTTAATGATTCAGTTCAGTATTTGCACCAGGCACAAATTGATCCGCTGTCTTTTTTACAGTTCATGGATGATCAACCTCTGATAAACCCAACTTAACTATCAATTTAATAAAGTTCTTACAAAGAGAAGAGCACAATTTGAAGATTCAAAACAGAAATATCAGCTTCATGAGGAAGGGACAAACCGGGAAGGAAGAACATATTTCAGCCATGGCGATTCCGACAAACCAGGTGAAGAAAGAGACGACAATCCAGCCCCAAACTAGAGTTGCAGGGCCTGCATATTGCAGGCTAGAACCATAAAGAGGAGTGATTCCAGTGAAGAGGGTCATCGTTGAGAATGATATCGCCAGAGTCTTGAACATAGTCTGCACAATAAACAAACGAAACATACAGGCTGTAACTCATTTCCCAGAATTCCATAGAATCAGAGTTCAGAAATCAAGAACATGAAGATCATGAAGATGAAGATGGTGATACCATTTCTCGTCTGAGTTCTTGCTTGTAACCAAGCTCGTTGAGTCGCTTCTCTCCTGAATCCATTGTCGCTCCTGTTGTCATCTTCTGTAATCTGCTTCCACTCTCTCTGAACCCAGATTCTGTGTTGAGCACTTTAGCAAGCAGAGAAGTCAGGTTACGTGGGATCTTTAGGATATAGAAGAAATAGGACAAAGTCTAACTTTCTCAATCAAAAAGTATAATTTATTACGAAAGGTTTGGAACTTGGAAGTTGAAGATCTAGCTAGCTTTCAGACAAGTTGCCAAATTTGAATTGTCACATGACGGCACGTTAATGCGATTTCAGACGTGCTTTATGCGCTTTTTTATATGGCAAAAATGGGATTGGGTTCACTGCCTAAATGCAACCCAACATTAAAATCTAGATCAATCAAATTTTGATATGAGTGATACAAATTTAAAGTACTATTATATTTTATATTTATTAAAATAAAAATGAATAAAAATTATAAAATAATTTTTTTATATTGAATATGATCTAGATTTAATTTGAAAAGCTCAATTTAATATTAAAATTTGGATGGTGCAAAATACATCTAGATAGTTAATGCACATCAATTATAAAACTCTCAATATTAAATTGAGCCCTCTAAATTAAATTTAAATTATATTAAAAATAAAAAATTTATTAAAATTATTTTATAATTTTTATTAATTTTATTTTAATAAATGTAAAATATAATAATATTTTAAATCTGAACAATTCAAAACAAATTGTGAATGATTCAAATTTCAATGCAGTGTTTAGCACCATTTTACTCATTAATGTGTTGAGCACTGAAACCAATCCCAACAATAATGACATTAAAGCTTTGACTTTACTTGAGCCGTTAATATTTTGATGATTAGAAAAGATCTTAAAATCATTTCAAATAGGTTCAACAATTAATTAGAATGTTTGATTTAGTGTAGGAATTAAGGAAATCCGAGATTAGCGAAGTAATTGACCAATCCAAGAATGGCTTTAAAGGAAATGAGGAAACTTGGTTAATGCATTGAAGCTTGAAAAAGGAAAGGAGAAGTTGGACACAAAATGAAAGAATAAACTTCAACGTTCAAATCACATCAAGTGTGAACGCATGAAGATTATAATTGAAGAAAAAACAACATATAGAGAAAAGAAGGGAAGCATTCAAACGAAAAAAATCACTCCGAGCATAATAGTGTGCGTATTGATTCGTCAATCATTGAAATTTGGGAATAGTTGTGGGCCCATTGTATTTGTTATATTGTTGATTGTTAATTATGATTGAGTTGTGAGAAACTCCGGTGTGTTAAGCTTTTGGTAAGTTCAATTAAAAACTCTAAAGTCATGTTTAAAATTAGGTTTAAGAAAAATAAAATTAGAATTGAAATCATGCTTTCAATTGTTTGGTATGCATGAATCCAATTCTTTATGAATTTCAATTCTATCAAAATACTTAGAATTCAATTCCATCTCCATCATGATGGAATTGTCACAATTTCATGTAATTGTCATAAATGCCCTATATACACACTCCATCATAATGGCTGAGTTTTTTATTTTTTTATAAGGGCATTTTGGTCTTTATCTATTTTAAATACATATATTTATTAATATATATTCAGATTCCATCTTCATACCAAACATACATTTATAACTCAATTCTATTCTGATTTCAATTTTAATTCCGATTTCGATTCCATCAAAAACTCTTTCATCATACCAAACGAGGCTTAAGAGAATCGTGAGTTGTATGTGAGCTTAGTGTAAAACTATTACATTTGAATTCTTTGAGTGACATAAAGACACTGACATATAATTGTTGAATTTTATTAATACTTGCAAATTTTAAAATATTTTTTTTAAAGATTGAAACAATCCTCACAATTATAAATACACTTATTATTTATATTCTCTTTAAAAATTTAAAATTTAATATTTTTTTAATATGACATGATAAAATCTTTGACAGCCATTTAATTAAATCAAACTATTATTATCGTCTGACATAAAACACTCATTGAGTGTGCACTTAATCTATTTATTGGATCCAAATTCAAAAAGAATATTTTTTGTAATTTTATTTATGAGTTATTTTTAACAAGTTTTAGCAAAACCAAAAACATATTAAATCTTATTAATTTCATTTTAAAATTTAATAAATTTTTACTTTTAACTCCACTAAAGACAAAAAGAATTATTTTTAGTATTTTTTTTCTAACATTTAACGAGAATATAAATATAAAGATGAATATAAAAAATATAAAATACCTTATAAATATGATTAAAATTAATCTTTTCTCTTTACTCTCTAAATAAGATCAAGAAAGTAAATCATAATTTTTATATATTTATATTATATTTATTTAGGATTTTAATAATAATTTTGAGCTTAAATGAATTTATTACTCACTTTTTTAAAAAAATATAAAATATTTTTAGTCAAATCTCACTCCTAATAAATTAATTAACTGTTTTCAAACTTATAACATCTTTCCATATATACCCTTATTTAATAGAAAGTTTCACTTAAAAATAAATACAATATAATTTATTTATTTATTAAGGGTAATTTTGAAATAAATATATTAATTATATCTTAAAATACTAAAAATATCTTATATTTTTTAATATTTAACCCCTCAAATATAATTACATTTTGATTTTACACAATAATATATACATATAAAAATAGGATTATATAAATAAACAGGTATAATATAATGTAATTAAAAAGGATACATACAGTAAAAATATGTATAGGAAAAGAAAATGAATGGTAAGTATTAGTATTAATATGTAATAGTCATAATTAAATATATTTATACTATATATGATATTAATGTATGATACATAATATGAATACTATTAGTAGATATTATAAATATGTAGTAAATATTTTGCTGGTTTTGAATTTTTTATTATTGAAAAAACTATTTAGATTTTGGTGGCAAGAGTGAGATGTCGCGTGAAAGAAAAAGGAAGAGGGAAGAAAGGGCGTGATTTAATAAAATGATGTGTATGATGTTATGGACCTGTGAGTAATTAATTATTTTAAATAAAATCTTAAAATAATTCTTTTATTTTTATTTCTTTAAATATAGTATTATTGAAAGATAAAAAAAATATGGTTCGCTTTAGGTCTTAAATAAATTTAAATAATAATAACAATAATAGATGTGAAAAAATACAAATATTTTTACCAAATTAAACCATTTTTGTGTGAAAGGATACAGAGAATGCATTACTTGATTAATTTGCTATTTTTGGATTAAAAATGTGAATATTTTTTAGTTTTCAATTCTTGGCTAAGAATTAATGTTCCCTACTCTTTGCATTAATTCACAATTTTTTAAAGTTGTTTTGGAGACTTCAACTTAGAACTTGCAAAGTGTTGTTTGGAGGCATTTTGTATTTAAATTGAATTGCAATATTTCTATTCGGAGGCATTTTGAATTTAAATTGAACTGCAATACTTCTATGAATTTTTTCATTGGTTAATTTTCAAGTCAATGGCTTAGATTTTATTTTAATTTTCCAACCATCATGGCAGGCCATAACATCAATTAAATTAAATCCAAAACCTTCGCTTTCTTTTATTCACACCCACCAACTCCACTACACTTGCTGCATGTTTGGGTAATAAAAATAATTAATTTTAAAGATGAAAATCATGATTTTATAAAAATATATCTCAACACCTACATTCAATTTCATGATAGTGACCATTTCTACTCATTCCTCCAACTTTCCAAGCCACTTATAAATCATGATCTTGATGAATAATGAGTAGTAGAAATGGGGATTAAGTGGATTGATGAATAATGAGTATAAATGGAGATTGGGTGGATGGGTGAGGAAGAAATGGTCAATGGCTTAACGTAAAATTGATGTTATGGCTTGTAATTACGGTCCGTAACTTGAGCTAAAGTTCGAACCACCTTGGTGTGATTAAAAATCAAATAAAACTATAATTTTTTAAAATATATCAAAATTCCTTATTAATTATGATTTTTTTAAAAAAATATCCAAATATTCTCATTACAAACTAAAATTAATTACAAATCTAAAATCATCATTTTTTTTAAAAAATTCCAAACAGAGTATACATGTTAAAATAAATTATAAAAAAATTTTAATTATCTCATAAGTTATTATTACTTGCTTTTTAATTTAGTTTTTTAATTATAATTTTTTAAAAATTTATCCAAAAATCATATACATTATTTTTATAAATTATGATTTTTATATTTATAATCATTTTGGTATCTAAATTAGTGTTTTTATTTTTTAAAAAAAACCTTTATAACTGATTTCAGCCTATGATAAGAAGGTTTATATTTTTTTTTAAAAAAAATCATAATTTAAGTGTTTGAATATATTGAAATCCAATCAGGCACGAAGACTCAAGTCACTGCTTCAGGTTGAACTTGCACTTCATAGGCGTGTTGTTTCTGCAGTGTCACATCACATCACAGCATAGAGCTTGAGCTCCCTCAGTTCCTCTTACTTTACACAGGTCTAAGTTCCAACTCCATGCTCTTCCATGGTTTACCCGTGGTTGTTTGACTTAATGATATGATTTGCGCTGAGTGGAGGCTTTTGGAAGAAGCTTAGATATTGCATGGGTGAACTTGCTCTCTAAACGAGCTGGAGCAACTTCTCAGAGCTATTTCTTTAGAATTGTGTTGTCTCTTAGGATGAATGCTCGAAAGATCAACGACGTTGAGAATGTAATGGTGATGGTTAAAGTGTTATTTGTGATATCTTGTAAGGGCGATTTCGGGAATTCGGTTGAACCATTGTGGTAGATGGGGATAGATGGTAGGGAAGTAGGCTACGTAGAAGCGATGAACTCTTGGACCAAAATTAAGGTCCAATGCAAGCCATTGCTCGGAGAGTGCGAAAGGAAACTCTCAAGTGACGTTCTCTTTTCTTCTGACAACGTGCTTCGAGCAGGAGGATTTTTCATTGCATAAAGATTTGAAATTTGACGTAACAATGACCACGTTTTTGCGATTCCATTTGCACCCGCGCTCCTTCTCTGTAAGTTCTACTTTTCTCTCTCTGCTTGATTTCTTCTGGGACAAATTTAGGAATTTGCCACTTCTGCGAAAGTCCTTGATCAGATTGGAGCTTCTGAGCAAGAAGGGGTCATGAGCCATTGGCTCAGGCCTACACTTTAGTCCTAAGAATGACGTCCATTTCTCTATTGGTTGTTAATCTTGCCCACTTTGTTTTAATTTCTTTCTGTATCTGGGTTCAGTTGATTCATGCCTTACTTTCAAAGGCAGGATAAACAGCTAAATGTGACTCGCTAGAAACTTTGAACAATAACCAGCGGCCTTATCCCACTTGGTGGGTCGGTTATATAAATTATATGACGTAATTATATTTTATCATTAACCAAGCCGACTATATAAATTATATAATATCATTATATTTTATCATTAACTAAGCTTTTAGAAATGTTATTAACTAAAAGGTAACTAATTCTAAAAGTAATTTTTTTTTTTGGCCTTCCTTTACCTCTCTTTTTCATCTGAATAATTTGGGGAATCTGGATCCTCTCAAGCCAGTGAATGGAAATTGTCTCTCTAGTGGAAGAAGCTGTCCATTCGGTTAATTAACGGTTTTAATCTGTAATTCAAGATGCTTCCCAGTTTTCTTTATTCTATCCTGTTGCATCTCTTGAATATCTGTGAAGGCAATGTGGATTTTTTTTTTTTTTAATGAAAGAAAAGTTTAGATGAGTTGGGTCAGGTCTCACTAGGGCTTGGCCATGTCTTCAGGATCAAAAAACACTTATAGAAGTATTTACAGATTGCATACTAACAAGGTTCTTATATTGACAACGAGATTTGAAGTTGTGTATTACATGCTTGAAGTTAAGATATCACTAGAAAATTTCCCATAGGATACTATTCTGGATGAATATTTGATTGCATGCTTGAAGTCGAGATATCACTAGAAAATTTTCCATAGGATACTATTCTGGATACTATTCTGGATAATATTTGATACAAAAGTGAAGAGTTAGCTATCTACCCTACGTAAAGGACATGAAAGTCGAGCACTTTTGCATTAAATAGCATTTATGAGCATGTTTATAGAGAAGCCGATCCTTGTGCTGACTGCATTGTTAATATGGCTCAGAGTATTGACTTAGAGGCTATATTTTTGAAGGATCCTCCCATAGTTTGTAACTTACTTTTCTTGGACCTTGTTGGTTCTCCTTAGGGATTTTTTCACTTTCTGTTGTTTTCAAAAAAAGAAGAAGAAGAAGAAGAAGAAGAAGAAGCAACCATGCCCGTTGTTAACTTCATGTTGCTTCTTTTGTCCCAAAAATAATAATCAAAAGAATTGTCAATTTTGAAAATTTCGTTTTCTCTTGACCTGCATCAAACTCATTATTGTGAATTATCAATTAACTTCTCATTAAAAGGGTTCAAGGGAGTAGACTTTTCATCTGTCTTTTCTTCTGTCCTCATGAATAAAAAGATAAGCCACATCTTTGACTTAGCTCTTCTAATGTACCTGCACTATTGTTGAAGTAGTTGATAATAAGTTTATATTTGAACATGCAGCCCTTTAGGATTACGAGGGAACTGGTGGGAAGTATTTTAACAGGCAAGTATACTTGCTGTTACTTGCAAACTTCATCTACCGAACACAAAACTTTTCCACTTGTACCACACAATAGTGGCAAATTTGACTAATTGGTTGCGTATATTTTCCTGATGCCCATAGATAATGTTCAATCAAGTTGTGAAAGCTGGCACTTATCAAGAAGAGGAAGAAGACTGATATCTTTCAAAGGCTCTATAAAGTTTGTGCAAACATCTTGTCGACTCTCTGTGCCTGGGATGTCACCCAAAGTTGAAGGAAAACCCCCCTCTAACATATTGAGGGATAAGAAGGCCGTTCCTGATGCAGATCCTCCTAGTATCAAAGATGTTAACCTTTTGTATCAATTTTTTGATAATAGGTTAATTTACACATGCTTGTCAATTTTAAATTTTAAAATTCCCTTATAGTTTCATACTTGTAGCTATAACATTATCAATCCTACAATACTTAACTTTTTTCAAAGTTTAAAGGTTTCCTTACTGAATGCCAATCTTAACATACAGCACCAAGCTCATGGTATTGACTGGAGCTGGAATCAGCACTGAGTGTGGTATCCCTGATTATAGAAGGTTCTACCTCCTCTTTACATTTCAATTTCCAGTTTTCCACTGTAACAAGCCTAATGAAAATGTTTATTGGGCAATAACAGTTCTTTGGTTCTTATACTCAGATTACTGTTTATTTACAAACTTTGCAATTTATTGAGCAATAGTAGCACTTAATTAGGACCTTGTAATTTTTATGGCTATAGCATTTAAAACATAAAAATTTATGACTGCAAAACAGGGATTACATTTAGTACTTAAAATGATGATGTGTATATTATTTTTGCCTAATAGTATGTTATCTCATCTATGACAGCCCCAATGGAGCTTATAGTACTGGTTTCAGACCAATAACCCATCAGGTGATCTGAAGGCATGTTCAACCAAAGCCGCTCCTTTTTGTGCCGCTGCAGTGTCTAAATGAGATAGGATAGGACATTTTCCTTGCATAGTTTTATCAAAATAAAAGAAGAATTTCTTGCACTAGAAATTATGTTAGTTGTAGCCTTCTATGATTGGGTCCTTTAAAGAGAGCAAAAGTTATTGTTGGAGTCATATAACAGTATAAAAATTTGCTCCAACGTTAATATTGAAATATAGGGGAAAAAAAATTCAAGGGCAGAGTTGAAGCTTTCGGACCTCATGTGGCCTTTTTCACTTTTTTTAAATGTAAATATTTTTATATTTTTATTTTTGAATTTTTGTCTGCATTTCCATGTGCTCCTTTCTATTGACATTATTCATAAGCAGGAATTTGCCCGTTCAAGTCGGGCCCGCAGGCGATATTGGGCCAGAAGTTATGCTGGGTGGAGACAGTTTACTGCCGCTCAACCAGGTGTTGCTCATCGCGCTTTGACATCATTGGAGAAAGCTGGCCGAATCAATTTTATGATTACCCAAAATGTTGACAGGTAAGAATTATTGCTTTGAAAGCTTGAGATACCACAAGCAAGCCTACCGGGGATTTTCTTCTATCTTGTTTTCAGGCTGCATCATCGTGCTGGTAGCAATCCTTTAGAGTTACATGGGACTGTATACACTGTCATATGTATAGATTGTGGATTTTCCTTTTGTCGAAGTGCATTTCAGGACCAACTGAAAGACCTTAATCCAAAGGTTAGCATTTTGCACCTATTTTTCAAGATTAATGCATATGAACGAGGAAGACTTGACATTTAAAAACTCCTCCCTTATTTCATTGGAGAAGATTTATTATCACTTGATGAGTGCTGTAGAATTGAACTTGCAGCAGACAATGTTATGATATTGCTTATATGACCATAATAATCCCTCAAGCTTGATTATTATAGAACAAGAATTAACATTAGTTGATCAGCGCGTGTGGTTGGTTGAGTTTTTCTGGGGATTTTGTCTCTGGTACCCAAATTTTTTCTTAAACCTGAGAGAAAGTGACATTGTAAAAGCAATACTCCAAGTCACTAGGTATCTGATAGAAGCTCAGCATTTGTTGAGCAGAGACGGAGATCAAGAGCCAAACTTCCAAGTGAAAAGGACTAGAAGAAAATAAGTGAGGGAACTCAAACACTAATTTCTTCTATAGGATAGTCTGTATGTCCAACTATGAAATGAGTTCAAATCAAGCTACTAGTACAAGACCCAAATTGCATGATTTATAGCAAATCCTAGGAAGTTAAATATTCAAAATCCAGGTCATAAATGCTACAACTACAAATTAGGCCAGTCATATTTGAGATGGTGGAGCATAATGGAGATGTGGCCAAGGGGTGGAATGGGTTATCCACTAAGTGCTGAAATGATCATCGCTATTATGTTTAATTTTTCTACATCCTTTGTGGATGTTTCATTTGATTGATCTTTTGAATGTAAAAGTGGGAATTTGTGTTTGACCAAAAAGAAGTGGGAATTTGTGTTTCTTCATACATGAGTCAAAGAGGGCTGAGTACATATACTCGAGTTCCTTTTCCTTATGAGCTAATATTTGAAAGTGATGTTTTACTGCAGTGGGCCGCGGCTATTGACAGTTTGGACCATGGAGAACCAGGGTCAGACAAGAGCTTTGGCATGAAACAAAGACCGGATGGTGATATTGAGATTGATGAAAAGTTTTGGGAGGAGGATTTTATCATCCCAAGCTGTCAGAAGTGCAATGGAGTTCTCAAACCTGATGTACACCATTTTGCTACTTCCACTTGAAAACTTGGCTGTTACTTGTGTATTGTGGATACTTCAGTCTGCATGTCATTTAACCTTCCCTTCAATATTTTTCTGGCCTCGACCTCTGCTATATCTTCTTTGTTATTGACATTGCAACCTTGACATATCTTTTTTGTTCGAGTTATTACATTACTTAGATGGAAGAAACATGGTGTGCTGGTTGACTGGATTGTATGTTGGAGCTTCTGATTGTAGGTTGACTGGATTTCTAAACTGGAGTATACTACAGAAAATGTTCTGTTTATCTGTCGGCATTTAATGAAAAAAACTTGACAAAGTTTTGTTTTTTGGCCTTTAACAATAACTCCGATGTTCTCGACTTCCACATAAGGTGTATTTGAAGTAAATTTGTAGTTCCTTGTCCAAACTTAAAAGTTTTTTTTTCAGTTACAAGAAATCTGCCTGACAACATCTGATGAATCTGACATTACCAGATGAAAACTTTGAAAATCATGAGTTTCATCTTTCTGTTCAAGTCAGTGACTAAAAGACAAATAATCAGAAGTTGCGATTATTTTAGCTACTATCCTGTTTATGGGTTTCCTCTGTTGCTACGATTCCAGTCTAATCGACTTACAGTAAAAGGTTGTAAATTATGTATGAAACAGTTTTTTGCTAGTTGCTTTTGTCATATTAAGTCCTTTACATGAACAAAGGTCAGTTATTTGGTCATCCAATATGAAGAAATGTGTCAGATGATTTCGAATTAAACTGTGAAATGCTTACAGTCTGTTTCACTGTTTTCACTTTAAGTGATTATTATTCTAGGTGGTCTTCTTTGGTGATAATGTTCCCAAAGACAGAGCTGATATGGCAATGGATGCATCTAGAAGTTGTGATGCTTTCCTTGTATTAGGATCATCTCTGATGACAATGTCTGCCTTTCGACTAGTCAGGTAGATTAAATATTGCCTAGCTCTTGAAGTTTTGATGCTAAGTTTATCTCTCATTTGTATACGTTGAACATGTATACGGTCTGCAAAATACTGAACAGTTTGTTAAACAACGTGATGTAGATAACATTGAACAGTTGAGTTAAACTTTTGATATGGTTATGGTTAGGGATTCACACAGAGGTGTTATACAATAAATAAACAATCTTACATCAACTTCAATAACGTGATTAATAGCTATTCCTCTTGCCATTTCAGTTAATAAACTTGGTGGTGGTGTTGTTTTGCTCTTGAGAAACTTCACAATTGACATTTACAAGTTTTGCGTCTTGAATGCAACTTCATGTTTTGCATTCTGATATAGGAAGGGCGCATCTTCTCTTCTCCCAGTGACCCCTGAACTTCTAGCAAGGAATACTTTTCCTTTATCCTTGCCTCTATTGTCTGTCTGCATATCAGGCTGATGATAAGGTCTTCAAATTCTACTTTTACAGGGCAGCTCAAGAGGCTGGTGCTGCTACAGCAATTGTAAATATTGGTGAAACACGTGCTGATAATTTGGTGCCCCTAAAAATCAATGCGCGATTGGGTGAGGTATGGCTTTTTAAATCATCTTAACTAGCAACTATCCATATTGAAAATTACTTCTTTAAACTTCATGACCATGCATTACTGCAGATTCTTCCAAGAGTACTTGACATGGGATCCATGAGTGTCCCTGCTATGTAGAGACACTTCAGGACAAGAGGTTTCCACTTTCCACCAAGGTGTGTATGTTCTTTCCCACACTGCTTAGATCTTTTTTTGCCCGGTGTAAAGTTCACTGAAATATGATTTAGGCTATCAGAAAGTTTAATGAGTATGACCTGTAAACTTCCATGCCTCAATTTTACAACTCACAAGCATGACCTTTGGATTTAACAGCACATAAATACACTCAACTTAAGGCAGGAATGATGAGTACTTTGCTACTTGCAGGAGTTTGTGTAGACTTGGAGATAAGTGTTGATGCTTCTGATGCTTTTGTTTCAAATGACTTCATGGAGAAACCATGCTGGTTTGTTACAAACATTTTCCACATCGAGTAAAATTCATTCTTGCATGCTTGGTCATTCCCTCGTAAAAAGTTGGATGTCATTGATAATTGTGTTACACCTGCAAGAAATAAACAAATTATTTTTCAGACTGATTTTTTGAATGAGATATGTCTTTACGTCCCATTGGTCCAAGTATTTAAGGCGTCCAGATTCCATTGGAAGTAGTACATCTTCGAAATGAGATTTAGACCATCCTAATTTAGATCGCTCATACTTGAATGCACACATTTCAAGTTAAAATTTCAATTTTTTTTAAAAAAGTAAAAGCTGTTAAATTAAAATATTAAAAATAAAATAAAATGTGATAAAATTTGGACTTTCAATTTTGTTATGAATGGTCCAGCTGAAAATGAGCACTCATCTTTAAGACGAGTAAAAGTATCAGTATTTTATTCAAAGTACAACTTCAGAAAAGGTCGGTGATCCTCATATAAATACAGTTTTGGGAACAATTTCAATGTGTTTGCTATATAGAAAAATATTAAAAAAATTGAAATAGGTGATTCCATCTTTCAAAATTTCTTCACACGTAATAGTTTTGCAGTTTTTACATTGCTGCATTATAAAAATTTAATTTTAGAGACGAATATATAATTTTTATCATAAAATATATCTTCTTTGTTAAAAAATACAAAACATTTTTAATAAAATTTTATCCTCAATAAAATAGATATTTACTTTTAAATTAATCCTATCTTTTTATATTTATTCTTATTAAATATTCTATAATAAATATAAAAATATTTATCAATATGAACACTTTCAACAAAAAAAAAATACTTACATCCCATTGGACTGAAAATATTTCATATTTTTGAACATCAATTCCTCAAAAAATGCTTTATATTTTTTAATAAAAAAAAATATAATTCAATTTTTTAAGGACTTTTTTTAACATATTACATCAATATCATCAACATAAAATATAAGCTTTAGATCAAACAAGGTTAACAACCCACCTAATGCATTCTAAAACAATATATAAAAGTCTGTTTTATCCCTTTTATTTGATGAAGATAATTTTTTAAAAAAATTTAAAAAATAAAAACTATATAAGTGAGTCAAAAGTTAAAAAATTAAATAAAATCACAATTAAAAAACTGAGTAATAATGAGTTATAATTAAGAAATTAAATTACAAATGAGTTAAAATAAAGGACTAATTACATGTAATGAATAACTAAATGCAATTCTAAATATACTCGCGGCGGAACTGAAAGTGCGAGAAGTTTAGCAAACAAAACAGGTAAAAGCAATTGCCTATGATATATTCTTGACGATAGGGGAAAGTAAGCATCTAATCACTAATTAAATTAGAAACGCAAAAGCACAGTCAAGCATTTTTCAGGCATCAATAAGTGGTTCACTTCCAAAACCCCAAAAATCCAAATCCCCAAGATATTCTCAGTCACAAGATCTTAACATCGTACTAAGTAATTACAAAATATTGCCCTCTGTTGCACTACAAACCAAAAATCCAAAAAAAAAAAAAGTCCTTAGTTAGCAGCTTAGCATTAAGATTAATGTATTCATCTGATCTGATCTCCCTTCCTAGGAATCCTCCGTCAGAGCATTGTCAATTTTATCAACATGATCCCGAAGTACTTTCCACTGCAACATGCCAAAAGGAATTAATCACATAGGATAATAGTCACCTCAATCTTTGGTTCTCAAATACCCAGACCACATAACAGAAATAAGACAGAAAAGGAAACCAACAAATCAATATCAATAACCCCTGAGGATTTACCTGGTCAATGCTCAGTGAAATGCCTGAAAACAAGGGTAAATATGTCATTGTAGCTCATGTTTATAAATACAGAGGAATGTTACAAGGTACAGAAAGCATGTAGAATACTGACCAAGGAAAACAAGAATTCAACATTTATGTTCTATATGACCCAACAGATGGCCGTTCTTGCTTATTTAAAACCTTTCAGGTATCAACATGGACAGTGGCCAACCCGCACAAGTGCATGCAAGGAAGAAACAATTTATCAAGGGCCAAATGCAACCCATTTTTTAAGAAAAAAGATTGAAGTTTGGATGTTTTGTTCTAACTCCAAGGAAGAAAGCACCAGAATTGGCGAGTACCAACAAAGGATAGCTATCATAGGATTCAATACCCTTCGGTTAATACAGCTCAGCTATATTAATTAAGCTAACCCTTGCTGGTTGAAACACAAGGAGTTTTAAGAATATAAGAAAAGATCGTTACGAAAAGAAGGCAGAGGGAAAACAAGATTCTTTACAAGGGTAGAAGCAAGCACACATAAGTCGTCCATATGAGTTCGTCCCCAAAAAACCACCATTCTACGAGCTTTCACAAGCAGTTAACATGCCATCTGCCATGCTGATGGTTCTGTGCTTCATCAAGTGGTCCAAGAAATGTTGTGTAGAGTATCAACCGACATTTTATAAACTTTTTAAGTCCTATAAACTAATTAAGTTTCAAGCCCTTCCAATCTAACTAAACCAATTACTACGACAATTCCATCACCAAAATAGCTCAAGTTTCACAACTTCCTTCATATAACGCTTCACCAAAAAAAAAAAAAAAGTGCTAGTATATATCACAATATGGGTTTTTGAGCAAACAAAGAAATCAATGACAGATTTTTAAGTATATGCAGATCCTCTCTTTCAGCTTCCCATTACAAGCAGAGTATGGTACATTTTAAAGGTTATAAATATAAGAACGTTAAAACGGTTTCAAACGACAAAAGGCACACTCATCCTGATTTTCGAACAACAACAAACGAACATAAGCGAAGATTATCACGCATCAACAATCAATAATACAACAGAGACTGTTTAGTTGGTAATAAAAACCGGAAGCAGCGAAGAAAGCATCCATACATTTCAATGAAAAAAATGTGAATCTCTTCAAGGCAAGCATCAAAATAAAGGTTCAAAACCCTAGAATAAGTATCAAGCAATCAATAAGCTAAAAAACCTTTCTTTCCAGGCAATTGCTTCCCATCTTTCACGTAAAATTCCCGAATATCCACCCAAATCCTGCCATTCCAGTTCCTCACACTCACCCTTCTGTTCTTAGATATCTGCCGCCAAAAGAACAAAAAAAAAAAAAAAAGCAGCAGCAGCAAATTCCCGTTAACAAAACCCTAAGGTTAGCTAAAGTTAGTTCACATGAGTTGATATGGAAGGAGGGGATACCTCGCAGACGACGATTTCATCAGAGTCGGCGGAATCCCTCTTCGGGAACTTTTTGGGTGGCGCGTGGCCCTCAGAATCACCGTCGGAAGCGTGATCCTGGTCGTCCTTCCTTTTACCTTTTTCAGACATCTCTGGAAGCAGTAGTAACACTTCACTAAAACTTCTTCGCAATCTCTGTTTTGCGTTGTGCGCAAGAGAGATGAAAACTGGTCGGGTGATAAATTGTTTATGCATTACTCCTTGTTAATGCTATTCAGGGTAAATAAAATAAAAACCCCTCCTTTTTTTTTTTTTTTTCCCTTCCCTCCTTCGCCCCTTGATTATCCATAGAAATCGAAATTCAAAAAAGCCTTTTCAAGTTACGGAAATAAAGACGCGGCAACGAGAAGTATGCTGTGGAAATTTAACTTTTAAATTAATACCTTGATTAATTTAATAAAATATTTTGTTTATAATTAGGTTGAGTACGATTTAATTATGATTATAATATAATGATAATTATTAATTCTTGAATCAATAGTTTGACTGGTTTGATTTTCAATGATTTACTAAGAAATCTTAAATTCAAAATTCTACCCAAAAAAAAAAAATAAAGCGTTACTTTGATAAGATCAATCTGGTTTTATAAAATAATCTTTTCAATCATCTAGCCTAACACCAATTGTTTTATTCAATTTTTTTATATCAATTATTATTATTTTAAAAAAAAATTAAATTTAATATATTAATATTTGATTAATATTAAAAAATTTAATGCAAGACTTGTTTGGTTAAAAAAATAATGGAGAGTATTTGGAAAGGAGGCTATAAATTTATTCAACGAATCATGTTTAAGGATTTTTAAAAGAATTATTAATAACTAATGGCCAATATGAAATCATTTATTGTTAAAATAGTAAATAATTTTTCTCCAATAATGACTTATTGTTAATTATTATCTACAAATAATTCTTAAAAGTAGGCCCTGCATACTATTTTTTCAAATATATTTTAATTTAACATTACCAGGTTAATCTCCTAAAATTTTGTTATTCCAACTTTGCCCATAAACCAATATATGCATATAGAAGGTGACAAAAGTTCCTGTCAACCCGGCAAAAACTTGCTATCCTTATCGTGATATCAGTTTTTACTATTGGCATCACTATCCATTTCAGTCAAGTTCTACAGTTATTATTTTCATATCCTGTTTACTCTTTCTCCAGAAATTTATGAATCTGATTTTTAAAAGCTTTTAGACAAGTTGCTCACCATGCCTAGACATTACTTATATCTTATGTGCTATAATTAATTTCCAGTTCCTCCTCTTTTTCTATCCGATGGTTCGTCTAGGCGGAGAATTTTGCGCCATATCATGGGTTAGGGGTTGGTATTAATTTTTCCAATGTTTCTGATGATATTTATTTTTGGGAGAATTTTAAATAAAGATTAAGAATGTGACTTAATTATTATTAAGTCTCAAAAAAATTTGAAATTTTAATTTAATTCAGGGGACAAAAGTAAAAATAATTTCAACTATAAAAAACTAAGTACCATTCATTTACTATATAAAATTATTAGTTATTAATTTTCTCACTTCACTTATTAATTTATCAATATCATTTATAAATTACATTCATTTGTCGGATAAGCAGTTACATTAATTTTTAATTTACTAACTTTATTATGAATTTATTAACATCAATTGTAAATTACAAGACATGTCAATAACTTATAATTAATGTTAATAAGTTACAGGACCAATCAATAATTTACAACTAATGTTAGTAAATTAATAAGTAAAGTTAGCAATTTAATAACTAATGTTACTTCTTATGATTGAACAACTTATATCAAATCTTATATAATTATTGATATGTCAACTCATGTAATTTACAATTTAATTAACAAGTGAAATAAAAAAATTAATAATTAGTGATTCTGCATAATAAGTGAATGATACTTCTATCTTTTCACAATTAAAATTATTTTTACTTTTATCCCCTTAAATTAAATTAAAGTTTTAATTTTTTTAAAATTTATAATAATTAAGTCACGTCCCTACTTTTTATTTTAATTTCTTTGTTTATTTTTCTTTTGGTAGAGTATTGTTTAATGCTATCGTTATATCCAACATGTGGATATGTATGTGTGTGGGGGGAAATCAGCCAATAGAAATATATATATATATATAAGTGAAAATGTTAAATTATCTTGACAATAAAAGTTAATCGCAACATGATTGTTATCTTTCTTTAAAAATGAAAATAAAAACGAAATACAATGGCAAAAGTGTTATAGTTTAAATATTATTATTTTTTCTCCCCCCTCCTCCAAAACTAAACAAGATAGCATTAAAATTTCTCCTTTCCCCTTCATCGTCCACTCCAATAAAAATAAAATCACTCTCCTCTCTTCCCTTCCATTGAATCAAACCATTAGAGTAAAAGAAAAAAAAAATAGTTTAGAAATAAATTTTTTAAAACCATATATATATAATTATATTATTAATAAAACCAATTGAAATTTGAATGAGTATTTTTTAAACTCAAAGGAGTGTTTATCATTAGTTTATAATTTATAATGACTTTTACTAATTTTTTAAAATTCTTTACAAATCCACTCTTTTTTGTTGTTGGGTTAATATGTAATTTAAATTCTAAACTATAGGTTCAGGGATAATTTAAATTCTAAACTTTTAGAAGATATATTTTAAATACTAAACAATTAAAGTTTAGATAATTTTGCCCTCATTATTAAATTTAAACAAACATACATCAAAATAAAGTTTAATGTACAATTGTTCTCAAATATGGGTAGGAAAAGGATGGAGAGCAGAGTTTGGCAAAAATGGCACATTATATCCTTATTTTTAAAAAACTAACTAACATTTGTTGAATTTAATGGCAAGAGTGAAATTGTTCCAATTTTAATTGTTCAAGGTTTAGAATATCCTTTTAAAAATTTAAAGTTTAAAATGTTCATAGATTTATAGTTGAGTGTTCAAATTACATGTCAATCACTTTTTATTTTGTATTTCCTTTCTTTTTTGAAAATAAAAAACATCAAATGTTAGACTGTTGAGGAAGCCAAATTAACTTATCTAAGGAGTTTTAAATTATATAACTATGTTATAAAAATAAAAATACTAAACGCATCTTTGAAGTACCTCAAAGCTATTGTTGATGAAAATGGTCTTATACAACGGAGTTTAGAATTATCTAGGTAGGCAATGGCAATACCCCAGGTGACCTATATATTGGCAGAAGTTTTAAGGTCAAATCATACAAGCACCTTTTTCTTCTATAGATATTAGGATAAATTGACCTACTTAAAAAAAAATCTTGTACATAAAAATTATGAATTAAATTTTTAAAAATTTAAAAATATAATTAATTTATATTAATACATAAAAAATTTGTTATTAATATACAAATATATAATTAATAAATATAATATATCAGTCATAATACAAATTATAATAAATATTTGATTTTTTATTTGATTTCATCCTATGATATTAATAATTACATCTACAAAAGTTCCTACAGTATAATACATCTTCTCGCAAGTCACCGTATTTAATGCTGATCGCGTTCAACAGAATTGTTTTTCAAATTTTCATCGAAAAGAGAAAAGAATTGTTTTTCTGTTTCAAATAATATTCTAAAATTTACGTTATTAATTATTGAGGGAAAAAAAAAAGAAAAGAAATTTTGATTTTATTTTTTGGCCAAAAAAAGAAATTTTGATTGAATTTGTATGATTTGTGCTCCACTTTCTCTACCTCTTCTATGCTGGCCAAGGGTGTCTTGTGCCTTTGTGGAAGTCCAAAGGTTATTCCAATCCAAGTCCTCCTCGCAGGATCCTGGTAGTCTGTTCTCTTCAACAAAATTTCTGTATAACATACAAAGACGACCGACAAAACCGACGACGGCTTCATCTGCGTCGGGAAGCTAGTTCTACATCGACGAGTTTCTGGCTTCCTATATGATTCAAACTAAAACCTTGTTTTCCGCCGATAAATCTCTTGTGGTATAATCTTCTCTATCCCAGAACTTACAGAATTGATGGGAAATTTATTTGTTAAGAAGCCAAAAGTAACCGATGTGGATCGAGCAATCCTCGCGCTCAAGACCCAGAGACGGAAGCTTGCTCAATATCAACAAAAGGTTCTTTTTCATTTTCTGTTTTAATTCTTCGGAGGCATCAATCAAAGTATAAATTCTGTATCCTTTGTTTGTGTGGGCAGTCAAGGATTTGTAATACCTAAAAGGAGCGAAATTTTGGGCTTATATGAGGGAATTTCAACATTATAAAATCCATTAACTGTTTGAGGATTGCATGCCAATAGCAGATTGCCTTGTTATGCATGACTTTATTCTTTCTGTTATTCATCTCATTTCATTTTTTAAGTCTAAACTATTGGGGAGATAAAGAAAGGACAGGTTCCTTGGGCCATGCTTTTTTGCTTTTACAAAAGCTTATTCGAATTCTTCTCCATGAAATTTGTCATCACCCGTTTAAATGCTTTTGGATTGTAAATAGCTGTTTAAGTATTCGCAACTTGTCTCAAAATGTCCTGTATAAATGTCATGCTTAAAGTACTTTTGCTATGGCCCGTGGCCCCTTGCATGAAGAGTTCTGGTCGCAAGATTAGTGCTTAAGGATTTTAGTCCCATCTATTGTGCAAGGATTAAGGAAGTAGTTAATAAAATGGCTAATCAATATTAATTATGAATATAAAATTGATATAAAATATTAAATCTCTATCAAACCACACTATTTTGAAGCAATAAATAATGCATCTTATTTCTCAGACTCCATGCAATACATGGGGACCCTACCTGGCGAGGAAAAATATGCAGTATATTGAGTTTATTTTGCTGACATTATCCATAGCCTGGAGTTTTCTCTGCATTTGGGTTGTTTTGGACATGAAATTTTTGGGATCATCATTCTTAGCTTGAATCATAATTCCCTTAACATACGAGTATGCTTCTTTACGTGAGAACTTGCATCTTAAGCACTATGGTTCACATCAAAGTACTTTTTCTTATGCAGTTCTGAGCCTTGTGCATTAAAGGTTTAGAGTGTAGATCTAAAGCACCTGCTGTAATAAGATAAGGTTAAGCAGCTAGTGTTATAAAGTTTTGTTCTTTAATTTGATTGGAAGTATAGTTCGTTTTCTTCCTTCACTGCTACCCGTGCTTTTGTTTTCTCATAAAAAAAAGGAAGAATAAGCCTTGGGAACTTAGGACACTTTCACATTTGTTTTTCTGTGTATTCTTTCCCTTTGATACATCTTTATTATACTCCAGCTCACTCTATATTCTGGCAAAAGAACTCTGTTAATGGTCTCATGGGGGCAAAATAGCACTGTTAATGAGGCTAGTATTTGCTAGTGTGTCATCATGAGTGCATCATGACAAAGGTCATTACGGTGCACTAAAGTGGCTACAACATCCTTTACACGTCATATTTTGCATTCTAACGTGTAATAATATATATGTACACTTCTGGGGAAAATTTGTAATAGGGGTGAGATTACATGTGTTTGTATGGAATTACATGTGTTTGTATGGATGCCATTGTATATTTGTGCATTGCAGGCATATATCCCTGTCATTTTTATTTGATCCCTTCTGCGGCCTATTTGGCTTCCCAAGCAAATACATCAGATGCTTGAACTTTTATAGAAATTATAAAAGTATATTGCACCTTATGATCTGCAAGTTATTTGTGAACCATAGCGTAACTGAACACAATGCCTGCACTTTTTGTGTCAAACTTTGAAGTGAGACTGTGGTTATACATCTGAAATTCTGAACTAGTTCAGTATCTTCAGAGTTGTATGAAGTGTGAAATCAAAAATTCGAGTGTTTCAGTTAGAATTCCTAACATTAGGATTGTGTACTTTTATAGTATTTTATTGGATATTTGACCATACTTTCTTTTGTGATTTTCTTTTTCCAGCTTGATGCTGTTATTGAAGCAGAGAAACAAGCTGCAAGAGACTTGATTCGTCAAAAGAAGAGAGACAGAGCCTTGTTAGCATTAAAGAAGAAAAAGACACAAGAGGAATTGTTAAAACAAGTTGATGCCTGGCTTATAAATGTGGAGCAACAAGTAATACATTAATATTAACATCTATCCATTTTTTCTTCGTAATTTGACCAAGAGCTGTTCAAGTCTTTGGGTGGCTTTATAATTGTCTGATGGTAGATGCTTAGTTTAATTTTATGCCCGATTTTGTGTTTTTCTGAAGTAATAACATGTCTTTTATTGATAAAGCCCCTATGATGCATTGTCAATCACCACTGTGCCACAAGGCTTCTTTCTTTTAAGTTGATTGTTTGCATAAAAGTTGCATGTAATATCCCTTTGGTTCAGTTGGCAGACATTGAACTAGCAAGCAAGCAAAAGGCTGTTTTTGAAAGTTTGAAGGCCGGTGGTGATGCGGTTAAAGCCATACAGAGTGAGATTAACATGGACGATGTTCAGAAACTTATGGATGATACTGCTGAAGCTAAAGCTTATCAAGATGTGAGCTTCACATCACCTTTTTCCTCACTTTTGCTGCTTTTATTGTAAAATCATTGCACTAGGTTTGGGCTTGTTTGGTTGGGTTTTAAAAACATAAGTGGGATGTGGTATTTGATAATTTATATTTCTTCATATAAGAATTTGGCAATTTATATTTGAGTGCTTTTTTTCTTTGATATTTCCTTCTCTGCAAGTTGTTGTGTTGGTATTGGATGCTAACCGATGGTTGTCATATTTGCGTTGTTTTTTAAGGAAATCAATGCAATCTTAGGGGAGAAGTTATCTGCAGAAGATGAGGAGGAGATTTTAGCAGAATTTGAGAACTTGGAAACTCAGGTACAAGGATTGTCAAAAAAATTTTATTTATCATCTGGTCTACGGGTACATTCCGATATCATCCAACTAACACTGTTCTATATTCCAATCAAACTTCTAATTGATCTCTGTGGCATGAATGATATTTTTTTAAGATGGAACATGTTCACTGCAAATGGTCGTATAAAGTAACTCCCAGTTATACTTGCTTGTGTCTTCAAAGGATTCATCTTGTCTCTGCATGACCTAAAGTACTGAACTCATGAATGATTTATGGCATAATTAATTCCAAATTAGGAATGTAATTGAAGAAATAAGAACATGATCCTTGTGAGGTAGTAAACTTCCCTCAATTGAAGAAGGCATGAATGTTAAATATACGATATCATGCCCCTATAATTTGTATATTCTACTGTAATTAACACAAAAGAAATTGTTTTCGGTTTAGCTTATGGTTGAAGATCTTCCTGAAGTTCCTACCGTCGAGCCTGAAGGCATCAAAGAGGAACTGGACCTTCCTGATGTCCCCACCAAAGCACCTGCTGCACCTGCAACTGACGCTGCTTTTTCCACAAAAACAAAAGGTATATATATTTCACCACCTCTCTCCCACTTTCCCAAGCCGCCAACTTTTGAAAATAAGCTTAATGCTAATGATTGATGGTGCAGTTATGGAGGAACCACTTCCAGCTTGAAGGGCATGGCTGGCCAAATTAGGCGCATCGTCTGGCTTACATGCATTCACCTGCTACTCTGAATTTGTGCATTTGCTGGAATTTAGGTTGGCTTTAGTATTTTTAATTCCAGCGACCAGCGACCAGCGACATTCGATTTGTACAGAAATGCTTGTATATTTTTCCAACTCAAATGATATTTTGTACAACAAATATGTGATTTCGCTAAGGACTCTTTAGCTCATGATGGGTTGTTCTCTGTTCTACCGCTTCTCTTCCATTTAGCCTTCTGATTGTTTGTAGGTTCTTCAACAATGAAATCCTTTGCCAATTCCGATTCTGGAAATTCTGATTGTTACTACTATTTGTATTTATATCCTGGAAATCCGGTTTACTAGGTTCTGTCGCAACACCCTTATCATTCTTTTGTATTTTTAATTCACATTGTAATTATGAAGCTTCAAGGATTTAGTTTGTGAAGTTGAGTGCTCCATTATATGACTATGTTACTACTCAGATTAAACATGTAACATGAAACTTCATCCCAAAAAAAAAAAAAAAGTAACATAAGAACACTGTATATTGAACTGCGCAGAATGATTCTGTCCGAACAGTATCCAGTTTTCTAAGTCCATATCCCTTTTTATAATGCCTCCTTTGAAATTTTAGGATATTTTATATCTTTCCACAAATGCCCCAATTTAATGATTTTTCCCCAACCCCTAATAAATGACTCTACCATCATTTAGGCAGATTTTGGAAAGAAGAAAAACATTTAGACATAAACAACTTTGATCTCCATGATTTTAGCAATTGGACTATACTCCATTGAAGAACAAAGGGAGTACACAATTTGTATAGCGCAGCTGTGATGCATGATTTGAACCCATAAATGAGACTGATTTAACGTAAAATGTAGCATTCCAGATAGTTTTCATGTCAAGAACAAATGGATATAAACTCAAACTGATGTGCTCACTTTGAATGTCGCAAATATCCTAAACATTGTATTACCTTGTATTATTTCAACAGCCAATCCACAATAATGGGTTTTCCATTTCCATCTAAGGGGCGGTCATCCAAAAGGATAGCAAATAATAGGATTACAATATGGGATTGTACTTTCCTTGACACCACCAATGACACAACAATCATATAGTTACCAAATGAGTACAAATCATTATTGAGATCCTGTATAATTTCTACCATTTATAGTACAAAGTCATGCAGCATCATATACCTGAAAGGTTGAGGGGAATTTCTACCATTTATAGTACAAGGTCATGCAGCATCATACACCTGAAAGGTTGGGGGAAAAGCTTATTCTATTACAATAATAATCCATAATGCCTCATCCGTTATCGCAAAGATTGCCTCCAACTTAGATCTCCAGAAGAAAGTGACAAGAAAGCGTTGACAGCAGGAAGTTGCAGCTCACAAAACCAATTTGTTTATATATAGCCATACTTCAAAGTTCAAACTTGTTATAATGTGATCAGCTGGGCAAAAAAGGAATTGAATTCCTAACCCATTAATATACTAGTGTTGTTCTTTCCTGTCAAAAATAAGAAAGCAAACCCAGCTTAGAATGCCTTTCATTCAAACTCTAAAGGGGATTATATGCTTCAGGAAGACTAGCAGATAGGGTCAACCATCTTGAGATTAGAGTATGAAGTCTTCTCCCATCAGGGATTTTCTGGACTATGACATCAATCAAACATGGGCAATTTAATTAACCAAAGAGGCATATAGCCATACATAAATTGATGTTACAGATATTTCATAAAATAAATTGATAAACTGATGCAATACCGCTGTCACGTTCATGGACATCCCTTCTTTCCAGTCTGATAGATGATATTTGATGGGAACATGTAAACTTACCTCACAAAATCTTGCCAGGAAGATAAATTTTCCGTCTCTGGTTATTTTAAGTATGCTATTAATTTTGTCATACTACATTCTCATCAACAACTGGAATCAGATTCACCCCCCGGGGGGGAGGGAATCCAAAAAGCCAAGGTTTACAGAGCAGCTAAACTAGGTTACGTGTGAATTATATCAAACATATAATCCTACACAAAAAGAAAAGGCATAAAACATAAAATGTCAACAGCGACATTCCCAGAATCTTAAATATCAAAAAAGTGTTGCAATTTACTCCAACTCAAAAAAGCAGTCACTTTATAAATTGACAATTCATCAGCAAGTCTTGGTTTTATAGGGTCAAAATGCTACCAATTCCCAAAAACAGGGGTATTTACAGGCATATTCAAAAAATAGGATCATAGGATACTTTGCATAGTCACTTGATGTTGGCATAGATCAATAAGAATTTCCATTTCTTTTAAAAAGACGTATTAGAGAAATTCAGCAAGAAAAGATGCATAGGTCTGTAAATTCTTGCAGTGGCCACCTTCCTAATTTATTTTCTGAAAATTACAAATAAATTTGTGTTTTTATTCACAAGAAAATACACATGCACACAAAGGGAAGCATAATAACTCATTAAGGTACAAATAGTTTGCAGAAAAAAAAGAAAAAAAGGATTTAACATGTCAGGGATAAGGCAAACCTTGGTGAAGACAAACAAGGGGAAGCGGTTTGAAAGCCAGCAAATACATTTGAGTAAGACTTTGTCAGATAGGAGAAATTGGCAACAGGAGGCAGAGCAGGTACCATTTCACCTTTCTTCAAAACTTCATGCAAGTTGAGTCTCTGCAAGGTCAAAACAGCCCTGGACTCTTTCCAAATAAAGGCCAGGACGCCATTGTGAAATACAAAGAGGGAACCAGGCTTTGATCCTGGGTATCTAAACCCATAACCAGTTGCAATACCCTCTCCCACAAAAGCATGATCAATATTTACAGGACAGGAATCCACATCAGCATCCCAAGGAAAGGGTTCAGATGAAGGCTCATTGGTATTCACTATAAACATTGCTGAGCCATTGGGATGCAAGACATAGTGAGTGCCTTCCAATATTTTGGTTGCAATGAGAAGCTGTTGCCCCTCACATTCCTCATAAGAAAGCAGCAGGAGGAAAAGAGCCTTTCCAGGCTTGTCTTTGCTAGGCTTTCCTGGAGGCCAACCAAAAGTCCCTCCCCAGAGACCTGCATATTCTTCGTCAGCTGTGGGAACTGGCATGCGCAGTTTATAAAGAGCAAATCGGCTGTCATGCATATTTGGCCATGCTCGATAAGAAGATAACTTTACAGTTGAGGCATGTAACGTTAGTTTAATTCTGTCACTCGATCTGAGAAATTCATCAAGTCGTGCATGCTTACTCTCACTGCTTGAAGTAACCTTCTCAGACATTGCATTACAGCCATTATTTGAGCTAGATTTCCCAAGGATATGTTTAAGGCTATGCCAGAAAGATCCACCAAAACTTTTTCTCTTGTTGGATTGTGTGATATTAATCACCTCGTCTGAAGGTCTACCAAAAGCCCATGAACGAATACTAGTTTGGACTTCATCCAGCCCTGATTGCATAGCACCAACTGCCTCTCTGGAGCTTGCTTTCCAATCAATCTGACTACTATTAGTATTAAGCTTGTACATTTGAATAAGGAGACTTCTTCTTTCCGACAAGAGCAACAAATCTTTCTGAAATTTGCCCTTGTCCACGCTAAACCTAGGAAATAAGGGTCCAAGTGCCATATCAGGAACCTTTTGTCGAACTTGACTAGTAATAATCTCAAGTAACTTTCTTCTATCACTAAAACATAATTTGCCAAAGGGAACAACCGACTCATCATTTCCTGTCCTATGTGACCTAGATAGTCCACCGTTTGAACTGCAAATATTTCCTGATAGCTCCACATCTGAGTGGTGTACGATGCTGTCACTCTGCAACAAAGTATCATCATATTTCTGTTGTGTGGGCTCAACTTCAAGCAATAGCACATTGCAAGCTCTTTCTACTTGTTTGACTAAACCAGGATAAATAAAGTTAATTCCGTTCTCCCTTCCATGCAGAAAAAATGTGGTTAAACCGTCAGAATCACCAATAATTTCAAAGACCGGCGCCCAGAGAATCGGACCATCCTCCATGCCCAATGGACCAAGCTCCTGAGGTATAACCCGGCACCCAATAACAGAAACAAAACCAGGAATGACATAGACTACATTACCAAGCTCAGGATTCTGATGAACCCACATACCAACTAATGGTTGAACGCTAATAAGAAAACGGCAAAGTGCCTTATAAGAGGAAACACCTTTTCGCCACTCAACTATGTCTTTATGGGGTAATATGTCAACCATGTCACATTGAGTGAGCCAGACCTTTTCAGAACCCGCAAGAGAGTATAGAGTCCGGCAGCACAGACTGAGATTACACACATCTCTTGGCGAGAGGAACAGTGCGATGATGGCGAATAAATCATCAGGAAGATTTTGAAACAAGCATGAATCAAAAGGTTTAGGTAACATAATGATCAAACCAAACTCAAAATTTACACTGATCAAACATCAAATGCACCCATGGCCGGACGCAAACAACTGTAATTGATCAAAGAATTAACACGAACAGAGATCCGAACTAACAACAAATCGAAACCCTGTGCAAACCTCTAGCAAAGAATCAGTAACGGAAACAACTAGTGGAGAATAAAGTGGGCGAACCCAGATTTTGTAAAAATCGAAATGAATCGGTTTGAATTGCCTCCTATGTACTGGAATTCCGGTGTTTTGGGACTGAAGGGAGAAAGGGAATTCAGAATCGAGAAGAAAGCAAGAAGAATTAGGGATGGGGGAGAGAACCTAGAGGACACGACAAAGGTGAGGACTGAGGGCCCGGATCGTCTAAAGTGACAGAGACGACGCCTTGCTTGGCCAAAACGCGCCGTTTCATCTGTTGGAGGCTTCACAAATCTCTCTGTACCTCTCTCTCTCATGGACGATCAGCATAGGAAAGGCGAGTGGTGGGAAGTGGCGGAGAGGGAATTGCTTCTGCATGAACCGGGGGAGCCAACCAACATTGAAATCAGCTTAAAGCAGAAGCCAAAGCCCCCAAATTCCAACCCTTCGACCCCACCATTCGTTACTCGGTCACTCCCCATTACGTTCATATTTCCACGACGACTTACCAAAGACCGAAGACTCGTATTTCCAAAGTCAGTGTCATCATGTCATGTTATTCACGAATTTTCGTGTGATTTATTAATTAATATTTAAGGACATGACATGCTTCAAGTGCTTTGAAACAAAGGTCGTAAACATGTTTCTTAAGTCGATAATTAAAGTTGGTCCCAGAAAAAGTCGATAATAAAAAATAAGGGAGAAAGCGTAGTTTTTGTCAATTAAGATTTTACATTTTAAAAAAAATACAAATTAAAATGTTTTAAAATTAAAAATAAATAATAAAAATTTTAATTTTAAAGAATAGAGATACATTATAAAGTTTAAATTTAATTTAAAAATTAAAAATAATTTATTTTTTAAGGGTAAAACAAAAATTGGCCTGAATGGGCTGCCTGAAATGAAGACAATTTTTTTTTAAGGCATGTTAATTTTGAGCTTTAAAGCTAGATTCATCTAAATTATGCTATTTTTTTTTTCAACTTTCAATTCTTATAAAAACTAGTAGAGCTGCACAAAGGATTGGACGACACTGAATTTCGGCCTAACTTGAAAGTTTGGTTTTTTTTATGAAAAGAACTAGGTTGGGCAACTTATAGTCTGGTCTTATCGAGTAATAATTTAAAAATTAACAAGACTGGACTTGATCTATAGAATTGAGAAATTGGTCTTGTTAATCTAGTACTCACTTAGCAATTTTTTCCTTTTTTCTCTATGAGAAGCAATAATCCATTTCAACCCAATAAACTCAATTAAAATAATAAAAAACACTTATAATCATAATAAATCCATAATAATTTCCAACAACAAAAAAAAAATATTTCAGTTACAGTCCAAATGATTTAAATTTATAATTTTAATAAAAACAACACTCAACAAACTTCAACGACACTACGTTATAACAACAATTTAAAAACAAACTTAACAAATCTTTATGCAATCATCTCCTTAGCATTAATTATACTTGAAGCATTTGTCAAAAATAAATTAATTATAATTATATTAAATAAATTAATAGGACTGGACTGAACTAAGTAGTCTAGATGTCTAATCTCTTATCCAATCCAACCCAAAAAAATAATTTTGTCTTTTCAACTTTTTTAGTTTTAAAGGACTAGTACTTATATGGATTGAACAGGATAAGACCATCTTAAGTTAAATTAAGTTGGACCGGACTTGAGGAATTTTTCACAACCCTAAAAACTAGTTTAAATAGGTAGCCTACAAAGTCACTTTCTTATTTGCAGTTCTAGAATTTGCTTGAACGCCTTAAGTTAAATATATAATTAAAATTAAAAAAATAAGTTACAAATTTATTAAATCAAAGTTGCAAAAGTGGGAGCAAAATTTGTAGATTCCTAGAGCTATAGACTAATGACTCTGTTATTTTTTAATTTTAAACATTAATATATGTGTTTTCTCTTGAAATTTGAGAAATAAATTTCAAATTTATTAGTTGAAACTTACAAAGTTGGAGTCAAACTTGCAAATAATCAAAGTTGAACTTCTAATCATTGCATTTTACAGATAATTTAATTTAATGATACACAAGATGATAGATTTGAAGAAGCAATCGAACATAAGTAGAAATATAAACATAAAATCAAACCTATTGAATCCTCATACAATTAGTCCTATATCAATTCTTAGGAATAGAGATAGAACATAAAAGTGTACTTGAATTCATCGCATTAAAAAATGTGAACGAGTGTGTTTTCTGGACTTGTTATTGGAGGAAATTTCTAAATGATTTCAAGAAAGGGAATTGGAGAACAATCTGACTAATTAGCCAAACCAATAATCAAGACCTTTATTTATAGACTTAAAACTTGTGATATTTACAATTTGGCCTTTTAACAAATTATAAATATCACTCTAGTCTCTACACATCAATTCCATAACAAATATACCTCTAAACTTTAAAACTTTAATCTAAATAGATCACTTTATTTAGACTTAATTAAATGATAATCTCATATTTTTAATATTTACATATGGGGCTTCATATGTTGGATTTTATTTCCAACATGGGAAGCTTCAATTTCATGATGTATGCTGTGGATATCCGCGACTATCATGTCCATCATAATCTTCTTTCTTTGTTTAGTTGTATGTCGGCTTGCGTTTTGGGCTAAGAAAGGCACAGAAGGAGAGATGTTGCCAACCGTTTTTACATCTCTGTTTTTAATGTTGCCAACTATTCTGACAATTAAACAGTATTAAGTGGTCCGAAATTATGACTTCAATTATCATGAACGGTATATTCATTCTCTTACCATGAAGGACCTTTTTGCTGCAAAATGGGAATTGAAAAGGGAGTAGGCATGAAAAATCTCCCTCCCATGGACATGGGAAGTTCTCTCCCCCCCCCCCCAACCCCCAAAAGAAAGTCACTTTACCATCTACCAAACACCAAAAAAAAAAAAAAAACTTTACCTCACATTTCTCCATTCCTCAAATCCATTTTTGATGTACCAAATGCAGCCTAATTAAGATCAAGCTTCTCTGATGGGATGGGAAATTCATCTGTTTATACCGGGAGTCCCCTAGCTCAGATACTCAAATCAATCCTAGATCATCTGGAGAGTAATCTGAGGGGCCAGTTTCGCATGCAATGGTTGTAAGTTAGTTATCTTCAAGTAATTTGCTCAAAAAAAGTTATCTTCAAGTACTTTTCCTCAAATTTTGGTATCTTCTATGCATTCAACATATCCATATATAAGTGTGCATCAACTAAATAAGTACCCAATAACGTTATGGATTACCTCGCAAGAAGCATTTTTCAGTAAGGATAAGTATCGTGTGTTTGAGATGACAATGTGTTGGTGTTAAGTTTCATCACCTCCATTACAGCTGGGAAGATAAAATCATGAAAGCCTCAACAAAGAAAGACCTTTGCTTTCTGGATGATTGCTTTCTGTGGCGACACATCTAACTTTGCTTTTGTCTGCCCCATTTGTCGAGTCTGATCTCTAATCAATAATTTAAGCACGCATTGCCATAATTTGCACATGATCATGCCATGGCTAAGTTTGTGTTTTCTATCAACATTTATCTTGGCCATGAAGAAGCTAATACTTTGGGTTGACTTTGAAATTTGACATGAGTAGCCAATGCAAACCTTGAACTGAACATTTATAACTGAAATATATTTACAGGATTGTTAGCATATGGATGGGATACGTACCTGATATGTTGCACCATATGAAACGTATGCAAGAAGAGAGAAAATGCACACAAAGAGGAAGAGAGAAAACAAGATAGCAGTCAGGATACTTGGATGATGTAGAGAGTACGTTCTTATACTCTGGTGTCACATGCTTGCACCCATTGTGAGTTTCCAAATGGTGATGCACACGGTGTTTTTTTTTTTTTTTTTTGGCCAGTATCTAGAGCTTCACTTTAACTAATCCAGATTTAACCCGAGTCGCACACTTAGCTATGGTGAGTGAGTCTCCCAGTGGAAATTTTGTGCATATACAAGGCTCGAACTCAAAATCTTGCTTAAACAAAAACGAGTCACTTATTACTTGGATCTTACATAATATAACTACTGTTCCCACACTTGTTCAAATAGGTGGGGAAAATTGCGCACATGACCCCATGCGTATCATATCAATTGTAAAGCCCTGTGGGCCTATAGTAGGTCTAATTTACCAAGAGTGAATAGCCCAACAAGAATGATACAAGAGTTGAAATGTATTGGAATCCAAAAGGAAGCCTTTACCTGCAAAGATTAAAAACTTGAGCGAAAGAGAACTCAATCAAGGAACATTTCATTACCTTTTTTTTTTCGAGGCTAATTTGGGTGTCCCATGCTTTTAGATGAATACAAATTATTAAATGCCAAGAGATGTCATCTGTGTGGAGAGAGTACACTTGCAAAAAAGAACCTCATTAGCCGTATGAAATGGAGAGGGCTAAAAAAGAACGAAGAGAAATGGTTTTCCTCAAGTCCTGTGACTGATAAAGAAAATATATTTTGGCATGTTCCAACCTGCTTCACCTTTTTCGGTGTATCATGGAGCCACAAATGTCCCACCCTTGTAATGCTCGTTGTATTGAAATGGCCCAACCTCTTAATTCTTTTATTATTTGTTTCCTTTGATCATTAAATATTACATAAAACTAACGATATACATTTTGATATTGTACAGTGACAAAATGGTGTAATTTTTCATTTTTTTACATAAATCAAAACTATACAATTTTAGGATATTTTTCTTTAAAAAATCATAAGAAAATACATAATTGTATTGTTTCATCATCCTAATATATTTTATATCAAATTTTATAATAAAAATAAAAAATAATTAAAAAGTTGGAACATTATAATAAACATTAAATAGTGGGGTATTATAGGTCCCAAGCCCATATACGTGTGTTTGATTTCAATTTGCCAAAAGTTAAATTTTAGTAAAAGTTCATTTGACAAAAGTCAGTTGTTGTAATAAAATTTATGTTTAGAATATATTTTTAAAAGTTTATTTCATAAACTGAAAGTTGTTTAGATTATATATAATAAAATGTACTTTTGAATGTATAATTATAAAAAAACATTAATTTATAATTTTTATTATACAAATATAATATATTATAAATATTTAAAAATGTGATAAAATTTTAAATAACATAAAATTTAATATGTTAAGTAATAAAAATTAAAAAAATATAAAGTTTGATATATTGAAAAAATATATACAACAAATAGTTTGGACATTATATATATATATAATGAAATGTATAATTATTCACTACAATATATTATTATTTTAAATGTTAAAATATCCAAATACATATGAATGCAAGCTTTAATATTGTCAATTTCTCATATTATTTAATTAAAAAATACATATGGAGGACTCTGAATTTCAAAAAAATCAAAAGGCTAAACACAAATAA